GAAGCCTCTTTAGCAATAGTCTGCCTGCCATCGTTGAGTTGAGTCTCTCTCTCTGCATGATCAATACGGCTTCATTGCCAGGATAACTGCCACATAGCGCTCACATCTCACGAAGGACGTGACTTGATGTGCTCGTTCGCTTCCGCTGCATACTCGAGGCACTAGAACGCAGTACCTTCCCAATAGCATTCACCGATTTTTTTTTTTGCGCAGAACATCAAATAAACGTTTTTTTCACTCGGTCCAGACGCAAGACTATCGTCTCTCGATGACATTTGCAGTGTGACATGCATATACGGGGCCATTTTTTTCTTTCTTGCATTTTACTATATATAGATACGTATACATATACGGTGAGTGACGGCGATGCTGACGCTGACTGCGGCGGCAAAATTCAGACGAGAGTGTCCATATGATTGCTTTCGTAATAAAAGAACATTAATAGGTTGGTCATTTGTGACAAAAGAAATCCTGCGGTAAAAGTACCTTAATCAGTACCTCAATGAAATACAACGATTATGAGATGGTGCAAATTGATCATTTAGAAAAATGCTAGCGAATACTCACAGCACCAAGAGAGTGCTAGGAAACTCTATTTTCTAGGAGTGAATGATTGCCCCATATATCACTCTTTTTTCCGGAATGCTGGAAACTCTCTGCTGCATTGAGTAGCCAACGCTCTACACGGAGTGCTGGTACGTTGGCAGAACGAGAGTGAACAAGCTCCCTCGCCAAAGTAGAATCATGCTTCTCAAATGGAGTTCATATACACTATGCGGTAACTAGGCTGCACTCTCAAAGGGTTTTACAATGTGCTCCCTGCAAGACTACGACCCCTCCTGCCAGTAGCAATAACGTTTCAAAAAAATTTTTCCGTACAAACCAGTAGCGATTGTGCAGCATAGATTGCTTGAAACTTGCACTGCATATTAAAGACGGACCATTCCACACACAAATTTATTCGTATACAACACGACAATGAACATATACATATCGTGCTACTAACCAGTCATACAGCAAGAGAGAGAGAGAGAGAGAGAGAGAGAAATAAACGTTTATTTAGAAACAGTGTTCCGAGCGAGGCCCAGTGTCACCCTAAGGTGGGAGGGTTTCCTAGTCCAGGAACCCTCTGGCTTCGACTGCCCTCTTGGCCCCGGTGACGAGCAATTGATATATATATTCATGATGTGTAGCCCCCTTCCGGGGTGGGTGGCACTAAATATATATTACGTGTATTTGAAGAGCAAATATACATCTACCACGGGTAAGCATCTGGTGATGTTGATGCACTCTGCAGGCGCGTCAACCTTTTATTATAAAACAACATGAATTTCTAATCACTAAACTTGCTAAATTTCAACTTATCAGCTCACATTGTCATGACTGGCTCAATGCGGTGAAGCCACCTATGCCCAAGCCGGGGAGTTGCAGCTAGGCGCTAACAAACACAGTTGAGATTATCTTTCAGCGAGTGCTAGCTGAGAAATAATTTATGAACGTTACAATGTGCGCGTCGGATCGGACTGACGATGCCACGGCGTGTACTGGCATATACACTATAAACAAGATAAATAAACAGCACCAGTCGACCACACCACTACTCAAACAGCATCTCTGTAATGTTTGCAGTTTTGGTACCTCAGCTACACTTTATTGTAACCGTTAGAGGTTAGAGTAATGCTCAAACTTCAACTTTCGCGAGCTACCTGCGGAGAGATCGGTCCAACCAAATGCGACCCTTACGAGTACGACTGCCAGCAAATGCAGGCCTCGCTTACCGGCAGAATTTGTCATACCTGTCATCAGCGCCTCCTCTGGGTTTGATGATACGCAATTCCGAGGAGTAAGAAAGGCTGTACACTAGAGCTCTGCTATTGGTGAACCTCAATAAACCATTACTTCTTGCCTACGGTGTCCACACAAGGAGCGATGAGCATCGGTAGGACGCGCTCCCAGCTGCAGCACACACCATCCGCCACCGAAAGCCACTGGGCACACTCGTCGGCACTCAGCTGACTCATACGTGATAACACAGGTGTGTTGTTCTGTACGCGTTCATAAAGTAACACGCTGAGATACTTTCATGCACATGCAGTTTGTTTCTTGGTGATTGGCCATGTAGATCAAGCTATCGTTTTACAAATGCAAATCAGTACACTCTGACACGGCCGCTGCAAAAGAGCAAATGGGCTTGGACAAGAAAATACAAACTATTCAATGAAGTACTTGCGTATTTATCGGGCGATGCAGCCGATATATAAACTTCTGTGCACGTGAACCAGCAGAAAAAGCGAGAAACGATTCTTGGACTTGGCAGCAACAGCTTGATTGATTGACATGTGGGGTTTAACGCCCCAAAAACACTATACTATTATGAGAGACGCCGTTGTGGAGGACTCCAGCAATTTCGACTACCTGTGGTTCTTTAGCGTGCACCCAAATCTGAGCATACAGCATTTTCGCCTACATCGAAAATGCATTCGCCGCAGCCGGGACTTGATCCCGCGACGTGCGGGTCAGCAGCCGAGTACCTTAGCCACTAGACCACCGTGGCGGCGCGGCAGTGACAGCTGATAATCTGCTTCGGCTTCTCGGTAATTTTGGTTTATTTCCCTATCGACGTTATGAATTCTGAAAGAAACGGGGCCTCATATCTTTAGAGGCAGGTCATGCGGAAAAGAAGAAGACGCAAGGTCTAGTTAGAAAATGAAATCACGTCTGTGGTTCGAACTGCGACACGTAAAGCGGAGTGGTGTGTTTTCTCATTACCAGTTTTTAAAGACGATAGTCTGTCTTGGGGACCTTCGACGGAAAAATATTGTCTATCTGTCTGTAACATTTATCTATTTGGCTGCCCTTAACGATACCTCAAGCGGCATCAAACGGCCAATCTCATTCCGCAGCGTCCACCAATATTGCTCAAGATTTAGCATTTATAGTTGTGCGATTGTCAATCAGAAAGCAAATATTGCGCATATCTGAGGCACCACAACAACACGTCTATGTTTTGTATGTCTGCCTTTATCCTAGAAAGAGGCACACAAGTAACTCTAAGAACTGTAGCATATCTTGCGCAGGGCTGACAGTAGCAACGCGATGCTCAAAAAGGTGTTTCCAACGCTTTGCTACGACGACACGGTGGTGGCACCAGCCCATCGCTTTGCGTTCTACACCTTATCGCTTCGGAGGCTGGCACGCATCTTTCTACGTGGGCGCACACGCCTTCGTTTTCGAAGCTAACTGCCAGATGGCGCTCGTGTCTAACGTGCCTCGATGCGCTCGTTCACTGCCGTTACACGCTCGAGGCACTCTAACGCAGCGCCTCCAGAATGCCATTCACCGATTTTCTAGGCAGAACATCAAATAAACGTTTTGTTCATTCTCTCAAGACGCAAGACTATCATCTTTCGACGACATTTGCAGTGTAACATGCAGATTCGGGCCAATTTCTTACTGAGCAGCAAGCATGGTATTACGTGACATAATGGCAGAGTACTTGCCTTGTCACACGTAGCTGGCGTGTTAGATTTGTGCTTGCTTAAGCGTTTTCTTTTTTGTAAGCATTTTTTCACTAATGCATCGAGCCTCTACCTTACTGCAGAGGCAATTTGTATGTGCCGTAAACAAATTTTTGGTGACGCTTTAGAAGTTGCCGCTGTTCCTTGGTTTGATGGTGTTAACGCTTAGAGAACGAAACGTTCTAGGTTACAAAGCTACGCTATATTGTTACCACTGAAAGTTATAGATTAACTTGACGCATTAAATTTGCATCTGGGGCGTATACACTCAGAGACTAATGGTTATGAGGCGGTCATATTGCTTTGCCGCATCAATCGTGATACACAGGGGCTAGATTGCACTCCGTCAGCAGAGGATCGAGTGCTAGACCCCATTCACGACTTATTGGGACGACAGTTACATAGATCGGAAACTCCATCTGACTAGGTGAGCGTTCACATTCTCTTTTGCTCTGGCTCAAGGAAAGAGTAAGTTACGTGGCCAATTCTTTACCCTGCTCCCCCATGGAGTTCAAGAGTTCTGGGGAGAATAACCTCCGCCGCTCTTGCAGTACTCCTCATTCTGTGAGTGGTCCGAGCACACACTGTGTATTCAGAATCAATAAACCTTTGATAGCGATAGAATTCCTTACGATTCGTAACACGCTACAATACCACGGGATTAGCTCGGAAACAATGAAAGCGTCTTACTACAATATCACTGCATCGTCGTTCACATCACGCGCAGTGCAAAGTACGGAGCCGTGCGAAGTTTAGTTTTTCAGCGAAAGCTGTATATGACTAGGAGAAATGAAAAAAAAAAACATCTGGCAGCGGCGTCATGAGCGTTCTTCTTTGGCTGTGTTATCAGTTACGTCAATCGCAGCATCGTACCGAAGCACGCGCGCCATTGGCTGCACTGTGAGTTAATTCTCGATGTCCAACGCCCCTGAGTTAGCTGGCGATGTCGAACGCTTGCAACAGTGTGGCGTTGCCGCGTCAATTAGATGAGGAGGAGGAGAAAAACTTTATTCATCCCAAGAGGGAAAGATGCGGTGGTGGAGTGTCAGAGGAGCCTACCCAGCGTGCGTCTCCGCTACCCTTTTGGCCCAATCCAAGATCTGGTCCTGGACCTCAGGCGCCGTGCGGCACATAGCAGCTTTCCACTGCTCCTTACTATTAATGTGTAGAAAATTGGGCGGTGGGTTTCGAGTACACCCCCACATGATATGGTCTAGGTTAGCTCTTTGTTAACAGAAAATGCACAAAAGGGTCAATTACATGATTGCCGGAGCTCGTTCGCCGGAGCGAACACCCGCTAGCTTTCCGCGGGAGTTTCTGAAGTGGCAATTTTGTCTTCGACTTTGACGTCTATGGTTCAAGAACGAATATAAATTAGAGCAACACGTGACCTTTATTTATATACTCACTAAAACTGATGTTAGCAGCATCTTTTTTATTTGACAGAAATCAGGCACTTTCAATTAATAAATTGAACATAATGCATTCATTTTCCCGCTTTTTTCAACTGACGACACTCTGAGCTGTAGATGCATCTTCCATGACCAGCAACCCGATGGAACCACCTGCTACAGCTTCGGGGAAGACGGAATGTAACGGAAGCATCTCTCACTCGAAGATCATATTGGGTAGATCTTTCTAAAAAATGAACAAAAAGAAAGCTGGTTTAATGCACACCGTGTGACAATATCTTATGCTAGATAATTATAGCAGCTATGAGCCACTCTAAGATAAAAAAAATGCTTAACGCAAATATAGCGATGAGACAAAGAACGAAAAATTCGTTTAATTTTCAAAAATTGAAAATGGCTCTCCGAATATGCAATCGCAATCTAGAAGGACATCATACTACAATAGTTGGGCCTCGCTTTCAGTGTCCTTAAAACAACCTTCCATTTTTTATGCCTTCGCCTAAAAGATTCAGAGAAGTAGCTGCTTTTGCTTTCTTGAATATACGTAGAAAGTGTGTGAAAAATATTGGTAGGTAAAAATTGGCAGGTCACACGTACTTGGGAGTTGATGCTACGCGAAGTCTGCCAAGGGAATGCGACTGCGTTGTACTTTTTAGTTAAAAAACGTTGCCACATGACGCTAAAGATATGTAAAAATGTCGTACACACACAAGCAATTTGAAGAAATTTTTGTCTTTATTAGCACCAGTTGTTTGCATTTGTCCAACAATGCAAACAGGAATATAGTTATTACCAACGCCAGAAGCAGTTAGCTGAAAGGTAACGCGTCTACTTGCGAAGATAGTTGCCTTGGCCTACTGCTATGTAGACAACTTCAAAGGATGGCGCTCAAGCATACAAGTGGTGTTAACTCGACACGACGCCATTATGACAGGAGTACGTATGTAATAATTATAAAATTGGATAGCCGGCACAGCAACGGCCCTTGACGTATTACAAACATTAGAGTTGCTTAGAGTCTTCTTTCAAACAATGTGTAGAACTGGCATGGTTCTGTGGTAGAATACTTTGTTGCCATGTTGAATGTCTCGGTTCCATTTCTGCTGGGACCATAATATATAAATTTTGCGTTCGTCTGGTAAGCGCTGCCGACGACAGAGTTTGGTAAAGTGCTCACATATAAAATACCGACGTCTCTTCTCGGCAATCCAGGGCAGATATGAACTGTCAACCACTCATTAAGTGGAACCTTAGAAGAGGGGCCCCACCCACGTTGAACTTTTTTTTTTCAAATAAATGTTGCCTCTCTCTCTCTCTTTCTGTCACCCATGATGCGTACCCTCACACTGAAGCCCCTGGCGTACAGGTATGGGCCACACGTCTGTCGAAGAAGGGGTTCGAGGATGCACGCGACGGCGATTTTCACGTGATCAGGACCAGTAAGCCGTGTTTGCGAACCCCATTATTGTCCCGCATTAGTTTTCTTGTACCGCAAGTTCGGAAGTTTGGGAGGTGATCAGGAGAGTGTCCAAACGTAGGTTTATATATATATATATATTGTGAAGAAAAAAGCGCATCGTTGGCAAGCAACATCGCCAACGCTTGGGTACTGGGTGCTGCCATTTGCCGTCGCCTAAACATGGAGCTGTACAACCGAACGCTACCTCCTATCATGACCACCAACAACGTGCTACCTGGCTCTTCTACTCCATCCCCCAGCAACCGCGGCGTTCTTCGTTTGCGAGAGCTCAAGATCTTCAGCGGAGCTGATGAGACCGACGTGGAAGACTGGTTCGCTAACTACGAACTGGTGAGAGCAAACAACAAGTGGGATGACGCGGGCAAGTTGACTAACGTCACCTTTACCTCACTGACGTGGCTGAAATGTGGTATAACAACTACAAAAACAAAATTACGACGTGGTTCATCTTAAAAACGTCGTTTGCTGACGTTTTCGACCAACCCGCTGTCCGCAAGTCCAGAGCCGAACAACGCTTGCGGACTCGTGCACTGAAGCCAGCTGAATCGTTCACCAGTTAGATCAAAGACATTATTGGTCTTTGCAACCGTGTGAACACCGCCATGCCTGAGTCAGAGAAGATTCAGCCCATCCTCAAAGGGATAAATGACGGCGCATTTCAGATGCTTCTGGCGCGCAATCCTGCCACCGTTGCGGAACTTGTGACTTTATGTCAAAGTTTCGACAAGTTGAAGAAGCAGCGCGCCCTGACTCGGCAATTTTCCTCACACGCCGACTCACTATCCAGTCTTACTTCTGTTACTGTTTACTCACCAACTCTGCAAAAGAATAAAGACTTTGCGCGTGAAGAAGTAGCTCGGCAGCTGTCGTTAATTCCTTTCACGCAGCAGCCACCGTCCTCTCCGTCTGCCCTCACCACTCCGCGACGTTATTGCCGAAGAGGTAGCTCAGGCTGTTCCCGTCGCTGCGCACCAGCAGCAGGCTGTGGCCATGCCTGTTGCCCATGCGCCGGCTATGCAGCCCGTGGCCGCGCCTCTTATTTATGCCCAGGTGGTACGCAACAGACCCCGCCAGCAGCTTTTGACACCCATGCCTGCAGTTGCTTTCCACTCTACCCTTATTTCGACATCTTGGGCCACACCGCGAGTCAGCAATTCCTGGCGCACTGCTGACAATCGACCGATCTGCTACGCCTGCGGTACTCAATAACACGTGGCACTATATTGTCGTCGTCGCTTCCAATCACAACACAACCCTACTTGGCCGTTACTGTATGACCCGCAGCCAACGCGCCTACATGCTCCCTATCCTTCACCGCAGTATGGCTACACTAACATTCCCAAGTTTCAGTCACCCCAGCCTCCAGCTCCGACTCACTCTCCCCGCTCACCGTCTCCTCGCAGGATATCTCTCCCCAATGCGTCTCCGACCCGCTTCCTCCAACCGGGAAAACTGAACGCCGCAGTTCCAGAGGCAAGAACGGCGCCGTCGTCGAAATGCCCAAGTCGTCACACTTCACCTGCTAACGTCGTCGCCATATCTGTCGATGGTGTTTCTACCTTTGCCCCCATTGACACAGGTGCTGCCGTTAATGTTATAGCCGCCCAGCTCTGCCGCTCTCTACGCAAAGTGACCACGCCGCTCACTGGACTATCGCTTCGTACGGCTAGCACACAACCAGTTCGAGCTCTCGGCGCATGTACAGCCCGCATTCTCATCCAAGGCTCTATGTACATTGTCGAGTTCATCGTCCTTTCGGTGTGCTCGCATGACGTTATCCTCGGTTGGGACTTCCTGTCACATCATCACGCCGTCATCGACTGCGCACGCGCTGAAGTTCAATTTTCGCACCTGTCTGATGAACCTTTGCACGAAACTCTTGAGCAGTCCCCAAAACACGTCGTACGTGAAGACACTGAAATTCGGCCAGCCTCTCTTGCCGTTGTCCCTGTTTGCTGCGATGAGCATAACGACGCTACAGTAATGTTTACACCCCCCGACATTTTCATGAGCCGCAGAGCCGTTTCCTTGCCTTTCGCTACCCTTGACGTCACTGCTGGCCGAAGCAATATTTTCATCCACAACCCCCTTCCTGCACCACTTACGCTACTTGCCGGCGAATGTCTCGATCGAGTGGAGTACTTCGATTCTTTTTTTATTCCTTAACATGCCAGACGAATCGTGCGGTAGCGCCTCGACCAAACTTCATGCCCTTTCCCCACTGGAATGCTCATCGAGTGACACCTTTTCGAGTTTCATCGCCGACACCTTAAGTGCCCATGAACGCGCCGAGCTTCTTAATCTCCTCCAGCACTTCGGGAATTCATTCGACGTTTCTCAGCCGCAATTGGGTCGGACTTCCGCAGTGCACCACTACATTGACACTGGTTCGCACCAGCTATTGCGTCAAAGACCGTACCGTGTCTCTGCTGCAGAACGTCACGTCATCAACGACAAGGTCGAAGAGATGCTACACCGTCGCGTTATACAACCATCGCACAGTCTTTGGGCATCTCCTGTCGTTCTAGTTCGAAAGAAGGATGAAGCGATTCGATTTTGCGTCGACTACCGGCAATTAAACAAGGTGACGCGGAAAGACGTCTGTCTATTACCGCGCATCGACAACGCCTTTGACAGCCTCGAAGGAGCTGAATTTTTCTCCATAGACTTACGATCTGGATACTGGCAGGTTTCTATGGCAGAAGCTGATCGCCAGAAAACTGCAATCATTACACCAGATGGCCTGTACGAATTTAACGCAATGCCTTTTGGGCTTGTAAAGCTCCTGTCACGTTTGAAAGACTCATGGACAACACGCTGCGTGGACTGAAGTGGTCTGTGTGTTTATGCTGCCTCGACGACATTTTCGTTTTCTCTCCCGATTTTCCCACACATCTGCTTCAGCTCCAACTGGTTCTGACGCGCTTAACCAACGCTGGGCTCCAACTGAACATTAAAAGGGCCGCTTCGCCGCGCGAGAGCTGTCCATCTTAGGGCACATCGTGTCCAAGCATGGTGTTCGACCCGACCCTGCAAAACTGCGGGCAGTCGCTGCGTTCCCGAAACCTACTACACTGAAAGAATTACGCAGTTTTGTCGGAATATGCTCGTACTTCCGGCGCTTCGTGAGAAATTTTGCGTCGATCATGTCACCACTGACCAACCTCCTACGCCTTGACGCAGACCTTTCGTCCTGGTCTCCCGACTGCGACGTCGCGTTTGCCACGCTTCGTAGTCTGCTAACATCTCCTCCAATTCTTCGGGATTTCGACCCAACAGCTGCAACGGAAGTTCACCCAGACGCTAGTGGGGTTGGTCTGGGCGCCGTCCTCGTCCAACGCAAGCCGGGCTACTCCGATTACGTCGTTCCTTATGCGAGTCGCACGCTTACTAAAGCTGAGGTCAATTACAGCGTCACTGAAAAAGAGTACTTGGCGCTAGTGTGGGTGCTTCGCAAGTTCCGCCCTTATTTGTACGGTCGCCCATTCGACCTGGTAACGGACCACCATGCACTTTGTTGGCTCGCCACATTGAAAGATCCTTCTGGCTGCCTAGCTCGGTGGGCACTGCAATTCCACGAGTACGACATTCGCGTCATCTATCGCAGCGGACGCAAGCATTCTAACGCCGACGCCCTGTCGCGTTCGCCTTTACCTCCCGTCTCGGCCTGTGGAACCACTGGTACCAACTCCGTCGCATCTCTCGACTTCGACTCCTTTGCCAGTGAACAACACAAAGACCCGTGG